CAGCTCGCGATCGCACGGGCAGCTCGCCCAGTGCTGCTTAGTTGCTCACTGGCCAGGCTTGCATCGCCAGCCGCCGCGCCGTGCCGCCCTGTCATCGCCGGCTCACCTCCTCAGCCCTAGCTCTCCCTCTCTCGCCACCACCGCCCCCGGCTGACCTCCCCCTCCCCTTCTGCACAGTCGCCATCGCTGTCACTGTCGTCGCCGCGCCGCCATTGTCTCTGCTGCCCGACGACGACGCAGCTGCCCCCCTGTTTTGGCCGTGCCAGGCCGCCATCGCGTCGCCGTCGCCGAGCCCGTCACTTGTCGCCGCCGTCGCACATTGCCGCCGTCGTGTTGCCCAGCCAGCTAGCTAGCCGGCCAGCCAGCTCGCCGACCAGCCTGCCCGAGCTCGCCTAGCCCGTTGCCCAGCCAGCCCGAGCGTGCCTAGGCCGTGGCTGAGTCGCCTAGCCGTGTGCCCAGTTGTGGTCGAGCGCTGCGCCGAGTCGCCGAGCCGTGTGCCGAGCCGTGGCCGAGTCCCGCGCCCTCGCCCGTGCCGAGCCCGTTACTGTTCATCCGGGCCATTTTGAGCAAGTGTGGAATTTTCCCCGGCCAAACTTAGGTAAGTGACTTCCTAAACCCTACTTATTATAATAGGTATTTTTAGACTTGTTTAGGGTGTGATTAGTACCGGTTTAGTGGTTAAACTTGGGTTAGGGCCAATTTATGAATGTGGTTAATTGATAGATTGAATTGCAATGATTATGCGGCATGTTTAGTGGCTAATTTACGTGGGTGTGATGATCGGATTGTCGTGGCGTTTATGGGTGAAATTGACTTGTGATTGGGCCGACTTAAGTGTTGAATTGATGGGCTAGTGTGATGAGCTTGTGATTGGAATTGGATTTGTACGACGTATGAGAATGGTGAATTGTGATGTGGTGTATGTACATGCGCATGCGAAATGTCCAGCGAGAGACGGAGCCCGGATTGATAGGAGGGCTTACCTGAGGCATGTTGACGCGGGTCGTGTGAAAGTATGAAATGTCCAGTGAGTGACGGAGCTCAGATTGATCGGAGAGCTGACCTGAGGCGTGTTGATGCGAGTCGTGTGAAAATGTGAAAGGTCCAGTGAGGGACGGAGCCCGGCTTGATCGGAGGGCTGACCTGTGGGGTGTTGACCTGGGTCGTGAAAAGTTGCTCGGCCACACATGCGAATTGAGCGTGATTGAATATACGTGTGAGAATGACGAATTGTGATGTGGTGTATGTGCATGTGAAATGTCCAGTGAGGGACGGAGCCCGAATTGATCGGAGGGCTTACCTGAGGCGTGTTGACGCAGGTCGTGTGAAAGTGTGAAATGTCTAGTGAGGGACAGAGCCCGGCTTGATCTGAGGGCCGACATGAGGCGTGATGACGCGGGTCGTGAGAAAGTGTGAAAGGTCCAGTGAGGGACGGAGCCCGACTTGATCGAAGGGTTGACCTGTGGGGTGTTGACCCAGGTCGTGGAAAGTTGCTCGGTCACGCATGCGAATTGAGTGTAATTGAATTGAGTGAATGTACGTGTGTATATGGCGCCCGAATGATAGCGATGTGTTCATAAGTTATTATGATATTCATGTGATTTGACTAATGTGCAGAGTTGGCATGTGAATCGTGGCGAGGTAAGTTTGTTGTGTGAAAATTGATTGTGTTGACTGGTGAATTACACGTTAAACTCGTCTGGGTACGCATTGGCTTAGGTGGGGTAGGGGTGTCAGAACCGAACCGAAAAACCGAACCGAGATACGAACCGAACCGAACCGAACCGAAAATTTCGTGTATTTTGGTTCGGTTTCGGTTTCGGTTCAGGTAATGATAAATAACCATCCTTTTTTTATCGGTTCGGATTATTTCAGTTCGGTTCGGTTAAACCGAACCGAACCAGAAAAAGTTAAAAACCCATGCTTGACGCTCTCACCACTCCCAAAACCCAAAACTCTGGAAATTTCCTCCTCCACACGTCAATGCACACCACCGTCAGCGACGATTCAGGGCCCCCGTCCCCTACCCGGAACAATTGCACGTCGTCCGGCGAACACCGACGCGGCGGCGCGCCGTGACTCCCTACCCCGAAGAGACCCCCTACCCCGCCGATGGACGAGGAGGGCAAGGTAAGGAAGTCCAAGAGGTTGGCCGTGACTCGCCTCTTCATGCGCTTCATCGGCCTCCCGAGACGACCATGGTCCCGACGGTTGCTATGGTGGCGCGTGGGGTCGGATCTCGCTGGGGAAAGAGCGGCGGGGCCGAGGGGTGGTAGATCCGGGAGGAGAGCGGAAGGTGCAAGGCGGGAAGATGGGAGGTTGGAGGATGGAGGATGGAGATGGGGACGGAGAGGAAAGGGGTGTTGAGGTTTGTGAGATTGGATTGTGGTCGAGTGAGTGATGACAGATTATGCTTCTTCTTCGTTTCTTTGATTCATCAATTTCCCTCTTGGAGCTCCGGAGAGTCCATCTTCCTCGGTCCGGACCTCCTCCGCCACCGCGCGCGGCCGTTCCTGCTTCCTCCATTGCCGAGCGGCTCGTCGATCCCACGAGTTCACCATGGTCCCCAAGTAGAGGAACTCGGGTGAGTTCCCGAGAGGTCCTCCTCTCGCTTGAAGCCGTGACGTTCGCCTCGGCATTGCCCGGCAAATCACCGTTCGTGGCGTCGAATCTCCGGGTCTTGGCATTGTCGGTGAAGTCAGACTCCGGCGACGGCGGCGAAGGATGAGGAGGGCGGCCACCAAGAGGACGAGGGTAGAGAGAGTGACGGCGATGGCGACGGAGGAACAGATGGGTTCGGTTTGTGGGGACTGTAGAGAGAGAGAGAGAGTGGGTGAGGTCAGATGAGAGAGAGTGGATTCAGCTAAGATTTTGCCGAACCAAATAAAAAAGCAAAAAAAAAAATAAAGAGGAAGAAACCGAAAGTCGAACCGAACCAAACCGAACCGAAACCGATTTTTCGGTTCGGTTCGAGAAAATTGGTTCGGTTCAAGCAAAATTCGGTTCGGTTCAAGGGTGCACTGCATCGCTTCGGTTCGGTTCGGTTTTTCGGTAAACCGAACCGAGAAGCCGTTATTACCCCTAAGGTGGGGTGTAGGTTGTTGTTGACACCTAATTTTGCCCGTCTCGTTAAATCGACGTCTAAATTGTAAGTGGGCCAAATTAATGTAAAAGAGAGATAATAAGTTTTTTTTAAAAAAAAAGGGGGAATTGATCCGGCTGATTTGATCCGGCTCGATAGGGCCGCCCTCTCTTTTAATTATCTTAGCTGTTTAGGCCAAGCCCTTTTGCTTGTTCATTCTTCCTTTCTGGGCTTAGCCCCATTTTCTTTCCTCCCTACTTCTCAAGCCCAGCCCTCCACCCATTTTTCCTTCCTTCTCTCTCGCGCTCACTCATGGAGCAAGAAGCAGACGACAAAATAGAGGGACGCTCTGCACGAGGGCGGTGATAGCTGCGATTCCAGAAGTAGGAAGCAGTGGCGCAGCACTGCATCCTGACGGCGCAAGGACCCAAGAGATCCCGCAGCTATTTTAGCAAAGAAACGGATGTGATTCAACCCCCAAGGAGAGGACCGGCTGCTGGCGTAGATCAAAATGGGGAAAGCACGCTGATCAACGGGATCTTTGAGCTGAAAATAGAGGGGGAAGGGGGCTGGCGTTGTTGACTAGCGAAAGTCGTCTGAAAGGGGACGAGAGATAGGAAACGCAGGTGAAGGTGATGGCTCTTAAAGGTCAGCAAGAGAGCAAGAAGGAAAAAAAAGAACAGTGGGGGCTAGAAGAGAAGAAGAAAAAAAAGAGGAGAAGAGAGAGCGGGGAGAGGGACCAAGAAAAAAACAGAAGAAAAAAAAGGAAAAGAGAAGAACAGAGGGAAAAGAGACGTGAAACCAAGAGAGAAAATCAAAGGAAGGAAGCTAAAAGGGGGTGATCGGGAGCCGGAAGAGGTTTTTGAGAGGGGAGCGCTCCGGCCCCTGAGCTCAGGAGTGCCGGCAAATCCCCTCCCTCTTCTCGGTGCGCCGACCCATCAATCCACGCCGGAAGTTGAGACGGAAATCGGAAGCTTTCGGCACAAGCTTCTTGTTCCTCGAAACAACGATACGAGCGTCCGAGCCTCCATGGAACAGTCCAGTCGCCGCCGTTCCCGTTCACATCGACTACGATTTCCGCTCCATTTCTGACTGGTAATTCCTCTCCTCAATATCCCTATTTTTTTTTACCCTGTTTTGGCTGAGTTTAAGATGCCGAACTTCTTCGACGAGTCCACTAGAGACCAAGGCTATTTTGTGACTAGCAAGGTAGATTTAGAGCCTACTACACTCCATATGAACCGAAAAATTGCATAAAACTCAGATCTGGAGCCCTTACTCTAGTCGCACAGCACTTGCTCGATAAAATGCCTCAATGAGCCTCTTTGAGCCTAGAACCCCGAAATTTGGCCCTGTATTCTTTGGGATCGTTTCTACGCAAACCAAAGTCCTTTTGTTGCAAAGATGGTCGTTTAGATCTTTATACATCACATTTGAGTCAAAAACCGCATTAAATCTCACGCAAGAGCACATGTCCGAATTTGCACATCACATGCTCGAATGAAACGTCTGAATGACTTTTTTTATGTGAAACCAGTGTCTAGATCCCGGTTTTTGCGTTTGCTTAGTATTTGTATTCATTGAATCAACACTGACTCTTGCGTGTTTCCTACGTTCACGTTCGCGAATCGTCCGAGTCGGCTTCGCATATGCATAACTTCGCCGGAGACGTTCCACCCTCGCCTACAAAGCCCGCGGTTTGAGGCCGCCTTAGTCAGCCTATTCCTCCTCGTTTTAGTATGTGTATGCTTGTTTATTTGCCAGTTTGTGGTTTGAGTTCGGGAAGTGAGTTTTGGTTGCCGGCGGGGAGGAGGTCATGTTTTCTTGTCGTCGGAGTGGTCTCCGGAGCGTCGGTCGGCGGTGAGCTAGCGTAAGGCCAGCATCGGTCGTCGACGCTGGTGGCCCGAGCCGACGACCGATGGTGGGGTCTCCCGGCGGGGTCTCGGTGGAGGTAAAAAAACGCAGAATGGGAACCCTCGGTGAAGAACCAAAAGAAATAGAGGACGTGCATGGCAGAAGAGAAGTGGGGGAGGAAGAGTAATAAAAAAATAGAGAATAAAAATAGAAAAGAAACAAAAGAAAAAGGAAAAAGAAAAAAGAAGAAATAGAAAAAAAATCAGAAAAGAAATGAAAATGGAGTCTCGGGTCATGTGTCGGGCGGATCGGGTCAGGGGACCCGGTCCGGAATTATTATATTATTAAAAATATTAAAACATTAAAAAATATTAACAAATTCAAAAATTCAAAAAAAAAATTAAAATAGTAAAAAATATTAAAAATTCCAAAAACTTAATTTCACTATTTCAAATGAAGGTAGTTGTCCGGTACGTTGTCAAACACCCAAGGAAGCAAACTCAAATGAAGGGAGTTATCAAACACCCAAGATGGCGAATTCAAATGAAGGGTAAATTGTATCATTTCCAATTGCCCATGTTGATTCTAATTCTGACATGATTCTATTTTCTTTTGATATGAAGCATCAAAGACCCGAAGGACCAGTGCAAGTGATGGGTAATGGTGTATCGTTTCTAATTTTTCAATCTATAAAGATTCATGCACTAACACATTCTTTCTTATTTTTTACAGGGTCACCAAGTCGCCATGCTGCAGGTAAGTACCCTTCTTCCAAGATTCAAATGAAAATCAAATTGAGAATTTTCATTACAAAAAAAAATAATAATAAGAGTTTTAATGTTTTTGTAAAAACAAGCACAAAAATGGAAATTAAAAAAAAAAAAGAGCACAAGAGTAGAAATTGTGAAAGCAAATGTTTCACAAAAATTCTGAACATCATCTTTATCCAAAGGTTGTCTTTATGCCTAATAGATCATTCGTTTTGAATCAAAATTCCCTGTGGAGATTGATCAATTCATGATGATCTCAACGAAATGAAAGGGAAGTGTTAATCATGCCAAGTGAGAAACATTTAGGATGAGGAAGAGCAAGCCATTCCCAAACATGCCCTGTAAACAATTTGAGAGGAGCGAAAAAAAAAAACTCGTGTTGTTTAAGGACGAGAGATCCATTCGCGAATAGTGCACAGACCGAAATGAAAAGAGGCATTTCCTTCCTATATTATATATACTTCAGGTGATCATAGTTAAGCCCCTTTAAGCCTTCACATGTGAAGAATTTCTACAAAATAGCCTTGTCAAGAACCACCTCGCAATGGGGCAAATTGGAGATTTTGGTTGACACTATTTGGTGAAAAAGATGAGAAAGATTTCTTTACTCTTACTCGTATCAATCTTTTTGTGGTAACTTCAGGAGTCTTTATGGAAGCTCGAAACATCCCGAAATGAAGAAAAACATTCATTTCTCTACCCAAACACTTATACCCCTTGTTCAGCCAAGTTGAGCTTGAATATTCGTTTCAAAAGCCCGAGTAGTGACAATCTCCCCACACTGGGGCAAGGCACATGATTTACCCAAGAAATTAGTGTCTATGTGACAATGTAAAGAGCGTCTTGAAAGTCCAAAGAGCCCAAAAAAAAAAGTTCAAAAGAGCAAAAGTCAAGTGAAAACTATGGGGCATGAAAAAACAGTGTGCTTGGTAAAAGCAAGGCCAGCACCCATTGCAAAAAAAAAAAAAGACAAAAGTGAAATGCTCGCATGAAGAAAAGAAAATCATTGCAGATGCAAAAGTCATTAGAGAAAAGAGTGAAGCTCTTGTGTTGAAAGGATTAGTCAGTGGACTTTCGAGACAAATTAAATTTCGAAGTCAAGTACATTCGAAAAGATCGGACGATATGGTAATGATGTCATGATAATCACCAGCTCTTAAATCCCTTTTGAGAATTTCTGAGCCTTTCAAGTCTTTATCCAGACTAATGTTATAACCTTCTCCAAAGTCTCTTTGGATTGGGATGGTCTAAGCAGAAATTTGGATTCCCAAACAAGCTATCGCTTGAAGAAGTGGGGGCAAAGTTATCTTATCTTATCTTAAGGTTTCTTGACTTGTAAACCTGATGGAGATGCTGATTGACAATTATTTCATTCCTTAGCCGATAATGCTCATCCATTGTTGAAACCGTGACCAAACCTACATTACGGTCTTTAAAAGACCTCTTAGATCGGTCAACGTGTACTTATTGCGAATGATTCTCAAAACCCTCGACAGTGGTCATGTGAGGTATATTGAGTGATCAAACTATTTTCCACATTAATGGATGGGATCAAGCAGCCTTCTTGAGAGTATGTGAGAAGCCATTTTCCGATTATAGAGCTCTTGTTTGGCATGTTTAACAAGCCCTTTTCATGAGTTAAGATCATTTCGACAAAAGACTTTCTCCTAAGGGAATTTGATGATTAATGACGTCTTTCAAGCCTAAAGGCAATTTTGCGATATTGAAGGATGTTGAATGCTTTCAAAACAATTGAATCTATCTTGAATTGCTCATACGATCAATACTTTCTCATTGATGATACCCTTTTGATATTGCCTCTCATGACATGTAATTAAATGACATTGATCTTGCCTGGTGTTCACAAACCCGAATTGATCCCGATACTATTTTACTTTTGCAGTTCAAATTTCATTGCTAAAATCGCTAACATGTTCCATTTGAGGATGTTTTCTTCAGGTCATCGGCAACAAAAATGCATTGGGAGCAGAGCAAGTAAGCGCTGTGGACGCGATTGATTATCGTTCATCACCGGGGCAAGGCCAAGAACAAAGGGATGTGCAAATAACACACCAAATCCATCCAAAGGGCGACGATTCCACGTCGAGCGGAGGTGTATTGGCCAAAGCTGCCGCTGCGGTGCAATCTACCCTTCAATCTGCTAAGGATGTCATCACTGGGAAATGAAGCCAATCGTTTGGTTATTGGATGTAGAAGATAGATAGTTTCTTCTCCTTAACACAAATTTTAATATCTTGAAAGTTAATTCTGAGATGCCGTTGGTCCCCCTAGGGTGTATGGGATCAATTCCTTGTACTGAATTTAGGATATATTCCCGTCAGTTTATTGTTTTCATCGTCAAAATAACGGCATCTTGATTTGTTTTGGTGATTCCCTTGGAGAAACTTAGACGTCTTGACATTCTGGCCATTGTATTTGCTTTTGTGATATTCAATGGACTTGATAGATATCGTACGTCTATTCAATAACATATTATCAAAGTCGGAGTCGAGAGAATGTTCACTATTATGTGCACCCACATGACACTTCATTTTGCCGCGTAGCTAGATACATTGCGTATTTTTTACCACATGACCCAAAGTTCAATTAATAAGGTTTTAGATAATCGATATGTCATCTCCAAACTTCATCTATTATCACATTTAGATCTAAAATATGTATGAATAAAATGTATAGCTAAATTTTATCTTTTATTGAGATTAATAAAAGAAATGGATAAATTAAATAAAGATTCTTCGATTATACTCTTAACTGATACGACTTATTTGGAATATAATTTCTAATTTACTACTCAATGATAAAATCTTCACTCAAATAATATAATTCATTAAATCAGCAAAATCTCTTTAATCTAGAAAAAAAAATTATGTTAAAGTGAAATAAAGAAAAATGTTCCTTCGTTAAATTAATTGCATTGGTATTGTCACACATAATGGGAATATTTCTGTTTTCTTCTCCAAAATCACTCACTTAAACTAAACAAAAGCAAACCAAACTTAAGTTTGGTAATTTTTAGGTTATTTTATTCAATAATTTGATTCAATGCATCAGAAAAATAAAAATGAACAAAGAATTGCATTTTATTTTATGTTTAAAAAGTACTGATAAGGAGAAAGCTCATAAACGTTAAGTTTTGTAATACAGCTTTTTTGTCTTTTTTTTCAACTGCAATTCCAATATTTGAGTTTAAACTTACAAAATAAATAAAAAAGATATCTTCAAACATATTCCCAAATGATATTGCTTATTTTACAAATATTACAATAGAAAAACCCAGGGAAGTAAAAATAGGCAATTGAAAATTTGTTCAAACTTCATTTGATTATCCTCATCTGATACACATGGATGGGGCGATTTATATGTATCCATTAGGAATTTTGAACCGGAGAATGGACATCCATGTTATCGAAAGAGAAGTTATATCTACAATCAAGTTAGGCACCGATGCTTGTGGCACAAACTTGAACTCTCCTCAAACCTCATAGAGTCCTAGCCAAGCATAGTAGATATATCCAACACCTGATAACATCCTACTGGGATTGCCCTAGTCGGGGTCGGGCCTCATTAGAATACTTTCCACCATCCGCGATCAATCTAGGTGTTCATCTTGCAATGGCATGAACATTTTGTTGCATTTAGTATGCCGAGCAAACACCTATGGGATGTTTTTTTCCGGGAACTTGAGATTTAAAGTTTCAAGGTTCATTAGCGACAAAAATTTATAAATCAAGTTTGTACAACAACACTTTTTGTTTGGCAAAAAAACCAAAGGTGTACAAATGAGTTAGGTGCAGTTTGCTTTTTTCTTTTTCAGACAAAAAAATATTGAGTCGTTTTGGCAAAATAAAAAATTGTCTTCGAAGGCATTTTCAATAAAAAAATAAAAGATCGGGTCGAGTTCTTCCATCCCCTCACAGTTCACACCTGGTATTGAGAATAATTTGCAAATGGACTTGCCAGATTCTACTTCAACCGTGAGCTGATATTCCATTAAGATAGTGACTCCACTTTATTCTCTCTCGAGGACTCATCCGAATCTGATTCCGTTTGCCTTTATGCCTCCTTTGCAAGTCCTCAGCACCTTCCTTTTTGTTCCTAGAACTTATACTCAGTGCATTCATTTGCTTCTCCTTGCTGCTTGCTCTCTGTTTAAGCTCAACCGTTTGCACCACAAACTCCCATCTTCTCCTTTCATCTTTCGCAGTAAGTAAATATTAATAGGTCCATGCTTCATCCTTTTTCTATTTAGATCATGTAATATCTTTCTTGATGTGTGAGGTGATGGAATTAAATTAGTTTTGATTGTATCAAACGCTTTCTTTGCTGCATCAGTCGCCACGATGGGTTTGGCGATATCTCGGTTCGTGAAGATGCTGTTTGCCAAGAAGGAGATGAGGATTCTGATGGTGGGTCTTGATGCCGCCGGGAAAACAACCATCCTCTACAAGTTGAAGCTCGGCGAAATCGTCACCACAATTCCCACAATCGGTTGGTACCGTGTCCGATTCCAATTTTTTGAGGCGTTTGGTTATGTGCGCAGATATGTGTTTTTCTTAAATATATCTGCAGTTCAATCTTGACTCAGATTTGTTTCTCTAAGTTGTTGAGTGGCATTAGGACTTGGAATGAAAGGATCAAGGCTTAGGCAGTAAATTTTTGTTGCAAGTACATCAATTTTTTACTGAAGAAGCCATGAAATTGCGTCAAAGCTGATCCACCTGCGATAGTTGACGATCAATTAACTAATAACTAAAAAACATGATACTTTGGACTTCAGTTACTTGAACCGTAAACATCAGCAGAACTTTTTGATTAACGACGAACTTTGTAAGCAGGATTCAATGTTGAGACTGTCGAGTACAAGAATGTGAGCTTCACCGTCTGGGATGTCGGCGGACAGGACAAGGTACATAGCAGTTCTCAACTCTTTTTTGTTTTTTTTTTCTCTTGTATACAAAGAAAATGAAAGTTTACATACTTTAGCATAATCTCGATATCTCTGTGACTATATCTCCACGGATACATGATCCATATGTCCTTCAAAAAGCGTGATGTTCTTTGCAAAGTGCTTAATGCCTCGTGCAAGATTTGGTTGCCTCATATGGATCGGCTAAAGTGCAGATTCGACCCCTCTGGAGACACTATTTTCAGAACACCCAGGGACTTATCTTTGTGGTTGATAGCAATGACAGAGAGAGGATATCAGAAGCTAGGGACGAGCTTCATCGGATGCTGAGTGAGGTTAAACTCATTTCTTTCTGGTCACTGGTTTGCCTTATTTCATGCTACTAACGGCTGCGAACTAAACATGGTAGTCTTTCAATGTGATACAACTGCAGGACGAGTTGCGTGATGCGACACTGCTTGTGTTTGCGAATAAGCAAGACCTTCCGAATGCGATGAAAGTTTCCGAGATTACCGATAAGTTGGGCCTGCACTCACTTCGACAGCGCCGTTGGTAAATACTGACTATCTGACGAAAGAAAAGTCCTGTACCCCGACACACGAATCACACCTCAACTGATTTTCAATAATTTCTCTAATGGGGTGACAGAGGCTTGAGCCTTCAATTTCGTACCACATTTCGAGTGTCTTCGTTGAATGAAATATGAATGAAGTCCTCATTCAAGTATCCATCCCAGTTCAATTATGGGGTCTATTCTGTTTTTGGCACGTTATGCGTTTTCGCAAGGAAAACCATCATTGCATCAGATTGATTTCAGAAACATCAACTTTAACATTTATCAATGGTATGTAATACAAATGCTAAAAGCATATCCTGATGTTGTACTGTATAGTTGATCAGTCATTCTTCTTTTTGGTAACTGGCTGGTTCAGGTACATACAGGCAGCCTGTGCAACCAATGGCCAAGGACTCTATGAAGGTCTGGATTGGTTATCCAGCAACATAACCACCAAGGCAAGTCGAAATCGAACCGTGCTTTTTCTTCTAGAACTTTTGTCTCGTGGACCGCCAGTAGAAAAATCATTTTCCACAGATTCTTATTCTAGTGAAACATATGGATTCTGATTAAATATAATCAGTCATTCCACATTCTATAAATTCACGTTATACGTGCACTTAGTCGCACCGCAAATACCGCTCCTGGAAACATGTCATGTGTACACTTGCTTCAGCCCTTCTGTGCCAAATCTTCATTCTACAAAGAGGGAACTGATAGATGCTGATTTATGCTTCATTCTTTTTTCTCCAGGCATAATTGATGCAGCAGCTGAAGCTATGGATGACTCTCCCCCAATCAGATGAAACGCATATCAAATTATAAAGACTAGAACAGATAAAAGAAAGACAAATCATGTACTTCTGTAAACAGTGATAATTCGCTACTGCTCTTCACGTCGTTTTCAAAGCTGCTGCTAATCTCCTACACGAGAAAATATTGAACTCTCTATGTCTGAACTTGAAGTTGTGATGATATGTTGATGAAAAACCAGTTTCTCTACACTCTTCGAATCTTGACATGTTACATGATTTCGGGTAAAGAAAGGGGACAAACGCTTCTCTTTTGTGCAGCATGTAACTACAGCTGTGTTACTAGTTCGCTTTGCATAGCATATTCTACAGAACAAAAGTAAAGTACATGATCATACATCCGAAAATTTCTAAAAGGTTGATGATTATTCCTTGTTTGCCTATAATGTGAGTCAATTATATAGCCTATACGGCATGGCTATGCCGTATAGGCTATAATTGACTGCAACCCGAGATCGATATATGATAAATTAGGACCGCTGAAGGCGACTCCAGATCGACCAACACTGGTCACAGCCAAACCATTACGCAAACCTATTGGTGCTGACCTGAGAGCGACTTGCTACGACTGAAAATCAATCAATCCGACTCGAGATGCACCGGCACTATCCAAGGAGCAAACGACAACAACCCATGATGAACTTAGCTTTCATCCCCGTGGTCGCTCGGAGCTTTGTTCGATTTGGCCCATCTCGCATACCGAGTCTCCTATTGTTATGTCATTTGGCGTATATATGAACATGTTCTTAAGAGATCAATATTCTGGTAGTACTCTAAATTGAGCTCACTTTATATTAGATTTTCAATGTTAAATAATGTCGTTATATCATAAGGCGCTTCTTGTGAGTGAATTCCGATTTCACATACGCAATCACAGGACACTCTTGCCCCAATTTGGTAGACAATTCGGCCCATTGACGCCCTATGTATCATCTTAGAAGCTCGTCAGGAATTGCACCATGCTCGGGCACTTTCGATCAGGCTATCACTTTCGAGTAGGCAGAGGGATTCCTACTCTAATGTCATTTTTCGACTTCATGGCTTAACCAACTATCGAGGTACCATGCTCTCCGACCCATCTTATACCGGACCTCACAATCCTGTCTTTTGACGTACATAAATCCTTTCTCAAAAGGCCACCCAATTGCCATTGCTATAAAAGACATATCTTGTAAGTTAATTTTCCAATCTTACGTACGTAACCCAAGATTATTCTCTTCTCGCCCGGCAAGCAATTCGGTTCATTCTTGCTTCTGTTACCATATTAGAAGCCTGTCGAGAGCAAGCGAACCGGGAATTTTTTTCCCCTCGCGTGGCCCGGAAAAGCACACACACCCGAGGACCATCGCGGTCAAAAGCATTGAAACGGCCAAACCCTGGAACTTGGCTCTTCTCCATTCCACATCTTGACCGAGAACGATCCCTGGAAACACATGGGGAAGCTTTTGATTCCTTTGACCTTTGGCCCGTCCCCTGGTCGCTCCTAACGTACTTGACTGGGCTTCCAGGGTGGATCCCGAACGGTGGATTGGTCTGTCGTTCCTTTTCGCAGTGCGCCCTTCATTGTCGGACCTTCTCTTGGCATGTCCCGCATGGATCGCTCGAATTGACGATTCTTTCCTACCTCAGAAACCCCAAAAAAAAAAATTGAAGAAAAAATCAGGGGATGTTTCGTGTTGAATGAATGGCAATCTAGAACGTGGTCGTGCACGGCCTGCACTTGCTGTACGTGATCGCTCTTCAGTAGGCCAATGTGGGATCCGAGACCGAAAGCAGATGCATTAATTATACTAATCAGGCGCAAAAAATAAAAACAAAGGGTTATTTGTTTTTCATAATATCATATTTAAGCGGAAATTTGATTTTAAGGGTGCATTTGTTTTGTAGAAAATGAATGATTCAGAAAATATTTTCCTATGAACGAAAAATATATTCATCGTCTACGAAAATGTATAGACACAAATTGTTGTCGATAATGAAAATATTTCTCATTGACTATTTATTTCAAGCGGTATAAATCATCGTTTTTAGGATAATATTTTTAAAATTATTTATTTTTCACAAAATAAACAGAAGGTAATTATATACAGGTTTTCAAAATTCCATCAACGAGTAAACTGTGGTCAAAGCACCACCCATCTCCATCCCTTTGGATTCGGATAGAATCGATACCTATCATTTAGGTGAGCGTGCTCATTTTTTGCCCTCCTCTTTTGATCGCGGGGTTTGTCGATACTAATGAAAGACAAATTAGGTTTCCTTTGCGTAATTTTAGGAAGATGGACAGCACATCTTGTCTTATGTTGTGGTCATACTAATCTAATCATACATTTAATTAATATATTATTACATCCCCTTTACGTGGAAAGATAAAATTCATACGCTCCCGTGCCCGACACGGACATCGGTGGTGCTAGCTTTCTAATTTTTGGTAGATGGTCAATGTTTATGGATTCTCCGGACATAAATCTCTGTGATCTGGATTATTAAATGAGAGATGGAATAAAAAATTTTCAACTTATGTACAAACAAACCATGTAAAACCAAAGCTTTGCACATTTGCTGTGCGGGGGAAAAAGAGAGTTTGGCCTTTCCTTAACGTAGCAAGCTAACACCCGTTCGCACGAACGAAGGTGCATTGGGCCACCCCAGAGCGATTCAGAAGAGAATTCCACAAAGGGGGCGCTCCTTTCAATCTATCGCTGCACAAACCCAAAAAAACCTCCCGATGCCTGCCTAGGAAGTCAAAACCACCCCCGATAAGCTTTGCATTCATTTTGGCATAGTGTTGGGGGAAATTATTTAGACGATGTTTGGTCTTTACTTAACGTAGCTGAAAAAGCCGTTCGGATTGTTTTCTGAGATCATAACTTCGTATTGGGGGTTTAACACCTTTCGAAACTTCCTTTGCATCGATTATGCCGCGAAGGTGCATTGTGACCAAGCCCACCTGTAGAGACAAGAATTCAAGAAGAGAATTCCACAAAAGGGGAGCGCTCCTTTCAATCATATGCGACTGCACAAACGCTTTCCCCATATGAACCTCCCGATGTCCATGCCTCATGGGGTTTTTTTTTGGTCAGATCCCCCGATACGGTTTCGAGGAGTTTCATTTTGGGACATAACAGTGGAGGGCCGAGCACAAGCCACTGCCTATAGGCAAAGGAAGAGAAGGAAAAAGAAAAAAGAAAATTTATTTAAAAAATTAAAATATTATAAAAAAATATTCATTGACGACTGAAAAATATTTATGCGATTTGATCTAAATGGGCGGATGGATTGAATTGATACCAATGTGAAAAAGTTTATGACTAAATTGGTATAATTAAAAAGTTTATGACTAAATTGATATAATTAAAAGGTTTAAGATTGAATTGGTACCAATGTAACATGTTTATAATTGTTTTAATACTTTTCTCCTCGGACCTTCAAGGACGAGCAATTGTAGCTCGAAGTGAATATTACATAACGAATGTGCGGTTCTCATGGTAATGCCCCGTTCATATAGATTTATAGAAATTTGTAGTAAGAAAAGTTTTATTGATTTCCTTACCAAAAAAAAAAGTTTTATTGATTTGTAGAGGATGGGTTATGCATCAGACTTGTCCTTTTGATGATGATTTTGTTTTGTCATGAATTTTAGAAAAAAGATATCGATGAGGAGGGGATTTGTGCCACGCCTTTCAAAAGAAAGTTTTTTTTTTGGGTCAGAATCCTTAAAAAGAAAGTTTAAAGAGTGTAAATATTCTCCTAATTTTTTTGTCCCCAACTCTTTTTGTGTCAACGCTTACATTTTTATGGTGAGATATAATGCATTCCCTTTTTATCGTAAGATTTTCCTTTTTCTAGTAATATGAGAAAAAAAGATGGCAACTCGCATAAAACGGTCTTGTCAATTTAAAGATATACTCTTTTTAATATGCTCAAGACAAACATGCCACATTGGATAATTGTGTAAGAAAATTCAATCCGAATTTGATGAATGAAATAAGTGGATATCGTGAGTACGACTCGTAAGACCCATTTCATTAGTTGGGTTGTAATGGATCAATCAATATTTCGAAGAAAAACTCGAATGGCATCGATCAGACAAAATTCAAATTTTACGACTTTGTATGAAATGAATGTGATTAATAAGTGAATATGATTATGTAAATACAGTAAGAAAATTTAAAGAAAATTATAAAAACTTTTTTCCGTAATTTATGGAGAAATTTGATGTTCATTTTAAATAGTCTACAAAATCTTCATGAGCATAATTCCTTATTGGAAACTAACAATACTTATAATATAAAGATTCACTCACACTGTAGTCATCAGTAATAAAATAATTTAAAAAATCAACTAATATAAATAAAATAGGCAAATGTAGGTCAGTCACTAATCATGTCTATACGACCCATTTTATTAAACGGGCCAAAATGGCCAATTTTCGATTACACGGCTTGAACCCTAACATGATATGTTTATTAATCGTGTCAAACGGATTGATACGTGCGACCACGATTAACGGTAACCGATCCCTCTAAGCCTCATATCGTGTTAAGTCACGTGTTGTCATGGAGTGTCGGAAACTCCCGTCCTGTCCCTACCGAAAGTTTAGAAAAATGTAAAGTTGAAGGTTGAAATGTACACCATATTGATTTCATGTGTTGAATTTTTCTGTTCTAACTTGAGTAATGTCCACGTACTCGAGCACCTCTGTAGAGAAAAGTAAAGACGGAATGATGTTCAAGCTAGCGTGACATACAAAGGTAATGATAATCCAACCAAAACAAAAACTGTGTGGGACCTCATATCACATAATATGAGGCACTCAAAAATGGATTTTAAATATATAAAGGAAAATAAACAATAAAATCAAATGCAGGTAATTTTGTCAATGGTTGCTCAATTTTTGGGTTGACTTTTGGTCTACATAGATTGTGATATTATTCTAATTTTCGTCGATTTTCAAAGCTACGGGTCTAAAACCAGTAGAGAACTTACATGACAGCCGCTTAATAAATACGAAGGCCTCATGTCCATGCACCTAGACTTATAGCATAAGATTAGTTGAATAAATCCCTGGAAGCCACACCATGCTAAGAATAAAATTTTGTGGACATGTTCATCTATGCTCCGTCACGAATAAGAACGCGGAAAATAGATTTGAGGAATTTATTTATAAGCTAAATTAGATGACTATCAAAGATAACAAATCAATCAATATACGCGCGCAATCTTGAGAGATATAGAGAATCGACATAATTATCAGATATCTTTATTACATGAAATTATCCTGAAAAGAATCTCCAACTATCTTTGACACGCTCGTATAGAAAGCAAGGAAAATCATCACGGCGTCGAAATTTGGAAATGCCGTCTAAATTTGACAATGCTACGAAAAAAAAGAATTATGGGTAGATCTCGGTGTAGAAAAATTTGTAAATCGCGAAAAATTTCGGGCATCGCGGATCAAGGAGAAAAATCGAAATGCGTTGTTCGCGGAAATTTAAATCGGTCAAGAAATTTTAAGAAAAATTGGAGCCGATCAATGTAAGGGATTTTTAATTATCTTTGGGAGATCCAGACGGATGACGATACGGAGGGTCGAGGCGGTTTAACGAACATCGGAAAGGATTCAGTGCTCCCCCACCACAGCGGTCAACCCTTCCTCTCCCCCCCGCACATCAAATTCCGCCCCCTTTGCCCATCCCCAGGCGCATCATCCATCGTCCGTTCAGGAAAAGGGAGACGACACGAATTCGGGAATCGAACGGCCCAGATCGGATCCGCCGGGGCCCCACACCGCCAATCATGCGCTCCCAAAAAACGCGTCCCCCCACCCCCGCAAGGAAAAAAAAAAAAAAGCCAAAAACCCAAAAAAATTTGTAAAAAAAAAAAGGAGAAATGACAAAAGAAAGGAAAGAGTGCGCGATGATTCGTCTCCTTGGCGACCGCGACGTGGACACGCACCGCGAACAAACGCCTCCCCACCTTTGACGCGAATAATCTCCCCACCACCTCCACCACCTCCACCATATAATAATCATCTCACCACCACCTGCACCACCTCCATCCCCACCTCCGCCACCGCCGCCGCCACCACCACCACCACCGTCTTCGATTCATCGTTCCTCGACCCTGAGATCTCACAAAGTTTCCCACTTTGACGCACCCCATTTGCTCCTCTCGCTCGCCGTAAATTCCAGGCCCCGATTCCCGCGCCGCCGTGCGAAATGGGCCAGGTCCCCTCCTCCGCCTCCACCTCCCCGGAGCCGAGCCACCGCGGGATCTCGTCCAGCCAGCGCCTCGACTCCCTCCCCTCGCTGGAGGAGCTCATCCCCTCCTTCGACGAGGACGAGGAGGAGGGCGAGGAGGGCGGCGGCGGCGGCGGCGGCGGCGGGGGGTACGACTACACCGGCGACCTGCCCGACGAGTGCCTGGCGCACGTCTTCCACTTCCTCGGCACCGGGGACCGGAAGCGGTGCTCCGCCGTGTGCCGGCGGTGGCTCCGCGTCGACGGGGAGAGCCGGCACCGGCTCTCGCTCAACGCGCGGGCCGAGCTGCTCCCCTCCCTCCCCTCCGTCTTCGCCCGCTTCGACGCCGTCGCGAAGCTCGCGCTCCGGTGCGACCGCAAGTCCATCAGCCTCGGCGACGAGGCGCTCGTCCTCATCTCCTTCAAGTGCCGGAGCCTCACCCGGCTCAAGCTCCGCGGCTGCCGCGAGCTCACCGATCTCGGGGTCGCGGCCTTCGCCGAGAACTGCACCCGGCTGAGGAAGCTCTCCTGCGGCTCCTGCTCGTTCGGCGCCAGAGCCATCAATGCGGTGCTCGATCACTGCGTGAACCTGGAGGAGCTGTCCATTAAGCGGCTCAGGGGGATCCACGACGGGGCCGAGCCGATCGGGCCGGGAGCGGCGGCGAAGTCGTTGAGATCCATTTGCTTGAAGGAGCTCATCAATGGTCAGTGCTTCGCTCCCCTCCTAGTTGGAGCGAGAAAGCTCTCGACTTTGAAGTTAATTCGCTGTTTGGGCGATTGGGATAACGTTCTCCAAACAATTGGGGGGTCAAATCCAGGTTTATTAGAAGTTCATCTGGAGAGAATTCAGGTGAGCGACTGTGGTCTTTCTGGGATTGCAAATTGCAAGGGTATCGAGACCCTGCATGTCGTGAAGGTCCCCGAGTGTTCGAATTTAGGGCTTTCCAGCATTGCGGAGAATTGCAGGCAATTGAGGAAGCTCCACATTGATGGGTGGAGAATAAACAGGATAGGCGACGAGGGTCTCGTCGAGGTCGCCAAGCAGTGCCTTCAGTTGCAGGAGCTAGTCCTGATTGGCGTCGGCGTGACGCATTCGAGCTTGGGCTTGATCGGTTCCAATTGCAGGAAATTGGAAAGGCTAGCCTTCTGTGGGAGCAACACGGTTAGGGACGCGGAGATTGCGTGCATCGCCGCAAAGTGCGAAGCCTTGAAGAAGCTTTGCATCAAGAATTTCCCTGTTTCTGATGTCGGGATCGAATCCCTTTCTCAGGGGTGTCCCAATCTGGTGAAGATTAAGGTGAAGTGCAGAGGAATGAGTGGGCAAGTCGTGGAGCTGTTGAAGGAGCGGAGAGGGTCGTTGGTCTTCAATTTGGATGCTTGCGAAATTGAAGCCGTAGACGATATCGGAGTCCAAGAAAGCGCGGTAGAGTTTCCTCCCGCGAATGCTTCCGATGTGCCATCGGGTAGCAATGAGAGGTCCATGTTGTATAGGGCAAAACTAGGTCTTTTCGCGGGTAGGAATTTAGTGGCTTGCACCTTCAGGAGGTGGTCGAACGGTGAAAATAGTTCCAATGGAAAATCGTGATTGCTAAATGTTGTAAGTGCTGCAATTTGTTTTGTTGAGATTTCGTTATGTTTTGACCTTCCTTAGACAATTCTTGTCCTCAATGTTGTACCTAATCATCGTTCTTTTGCCTTGTGCAACTTTTCTTGCAAATGAAACTTGAGTTCTTTTAGTTTTCTTTGTCCAGTTCATGTGCGTGATTAGTGACCCTTTGTTTCATGCATGCTTCTGAATGATTTTGTTTCCCTCCTCGTGTCAAATCTTCTCAATGATGCTGCTTCAAAATGAAAATGAACATAGCCATGCTAGAACTTTTTTGCTTTTGGGGCTCTTTAGCTATTTTATGGTCGAATGTAGCATTTCCAGTCATTGGCAAATTTGAACTCTGTATATCTGCTAAAGGTGCAATTATGTTGCCATTGTCAAAATTCACCTCCTTTCGGAGTTCCGGGTGTCCCATGAAGAGCTGTATACCTTCCATTCTGCGCGGTTCTTACTGGAGAAGAGTAAAGATGGGGGCTGGCGATAAAAAAGGCCATCGAATCTGCATCCTCCCTCGGTCTCCAAAGCGGCTTTTTCCAGGATATTTTCGCCTTTCCTCTTTTTCGCCTTTTCTCGTTCATTGGAGTCTAGTCTCCTTCCTTTGCGATTACTTTGAGCGAGTCAAAAGCTGTCCCTTGCGACCAACCATCGGTTTGTCCTGTTTCTGACTTGTCTCTTTTCTGGTCTCTCCCGTGCTAGATCGGTCCAAATGGGATTGTTCTTTTCCAGAGCACGAGGATCTGTCTCGTTCTTAACAGTCGCGGGCTGAATGGAATCAGGAAATTTCTGGCTCGTTGATACTGTCTGGCGACACCAACGTATGGAAGAAGGCATCTGTGGCAAATTTGCAACACCTGGCTTCAATCTTCTACCGTATCTGGTTTCTGATTTTCTCACGTGATAGTTTTACCTTGAAAAACAACCCAGCAGATAGGAGAATTTCCTTGTAATCCTAGGTTGAATCAGTCTCTGTGTTTGAACAAATCAAGAATTTAGGTCTCCCACTCATGACACCAGACACCAGTTCTTAGTTCTTCTCTCGAGTGTTTGGAGGCAGAGTGGTATTTTGGATGAGTTTTGACTAAGCTCGTGTCTTCGTTACGATCGAAGACGAGTCATCCACGTTGTAATTGTAAAATCGCAAGGAACGACTTTCTCGCGGCTTGATCTCAGTGTTTAGCAAGAAGCAAAATTAAGACCTGAAAAGTTTTTCTTAGGCATAAAGTCTCTAATCATTTTATTGGCTCGGCAAATCTTCTAGGTTCAATTGCCCTTGCTTGTTTGTTGGTTCTCTAGACCCAGATTTAGGCATGCGAAAGGAGACTTGGACTGGACATGACAAATGAATGAAACGAAGACATGGAGATTCCAATGTCTGCGGATTACTACACTCCGTGCACCTTTCGGTTCTTATCATAAACAAGTAGTTCTGTCTGTTCTTCACTAAGTTTTTTCCCTCTTTTGGACAGCGGATGCTTCAACAGTTACAAGTTAAATGCTATACAGGACAGTGAGGTAAGCAAGCTCAGCACATGAGACATAAAAGTTCGAAGGAATTAGAAAACCTTTTCCCTCCGTTTCTATGGAATGACTAGTTTCTGCAGGCGATATTGATTTCCTTGATTTAAGTTGGATAAATTTCAATCTCGTGCCGTCCACTAATGGCGAACGTAATGGAAGCTAAGAAATAAGCTTTCAAAGAGAGTCCTTTTTCATAAACACTAGCTGAAGACATTCATTCTCATGAGCATTGCGAAAGATTACATAAAACCGTGACCAGGATCCTTTCCTCAGGTGCAGCTCGACTTCAACACATAAGTATGCACAACAATGACTGCCGAATTCTAAGAATGAAAGCCTGCTCCTTCATTATAACTTCAGGCCTAAGAGGAACGGATTATCTAAAAACACAATCACCAAATAAGGATTCGAGAAACATGAAAAAAGCGCTTCCCAACGTTCTTCAAGTTCTTCCTCTTCGACTAGCTCAGAGCAGCCAGAACTGACTCTTCGAGGACTTCTAGTGTAGTCATTGTCCTCGACTCTGATTTTGTGGGGTTTTGGCTGGTCTTGGTGGGGTACGAGGCTTCCATCACGATGCCGCACTTGCCGAAGAAGTTGTTGGCGACATTGCGTTCCATCCTAATGTAACCATCCTCGCCCCAGTTGGTGCCCCATGAGTTCCTCACTATCCAGTAATCCACTCCATTTTCACTTCCATACCCAACGACAATCACTCCGTGGTCAAGGGAAATGTCGCATTCGCCAGTGAATACACCCTGCTCAGATCAAGAGTGATGTTTCAGTCTAACTAAGCCTTTTGGTTTACCTTTGATAATAATTCTCAATCTAGTTCCCCTTCAAGATGGCCTGCTTTCTTTCTGAGAAAATACAAAGCTAGCTGGATTTCCTGTCATAATTAGAGAATACTAGGACTAAAACTTTGGTTCACTTAACCAAGTTAACATTCAAACAGCACCATCTTCGCTTGCGTTATGCATCATGTGTTTTTAAATGTTCTTATACACAACTTCATATGTTCTGTTTCCTGATTCAGTTTGTCATTCGATTTCTATAATTTAAGGAACTAGAACGAACCACCTCAATGGTACAGATTGTTTGTTTACTAAAATGAAATTCAAATACTTTTTCTTCTTGGTGTAGCTACAACTGAACATTGGAAACTTATACTTACAGATTGGTAAAGTTGAAAGGCCCTGCCACTGGCTTCAATGGCGACGCTAACTGGTTGATGTGCCACGGCCTTTTTAAGCGCACTCTCATAGGGTTGGACATCTTCATATCCATCAATTTTGACAACCTTCGAATTCACCTGAAAAAAGTACAAAATAACTTCAATAGTTGAGAATCTGACCGATGGAACCTCAAGATCTCGATGAAAGAACAGAGAAATAGCAGTCATTAAAATCATATACAATAATACATACCCTAGAAGTGTCACATTTGCTTCTGACGCCATTGTAAGGGTAGTCCTGCTCGGTGTCCATCCCTCCGTTCTTGATAATGAATTGGAATGCATAGTCCATGATACCTCCATTGCAGCCCGAATTATACTTTCGATCGCAGTCCACCAGCTCTTGCTCTGATAGAGATATCAATTCACCCGTCACAATTTGGTTTATTCCTTCCACAGCCGCCACTGTCGAAAACGCCCAGCAACTTCCTGGTGATAAACAGGATATCGTATATAGTTAGCCTTGCCCTTGACAAGAGTATTCTTGTTTCCATTCGCTACAAAATGCATAAACCAAGATTTACATCGACTGTGCGATGACAGTAGTTTTTAATGCAGTCCATTGCAGAGGATCCTTCTGTTGCACACGTGTATAAGAGTGACAAAGAAACGGTGAAGATCGAAAAAGTTCAATTGCTCAACAATTTCTTAGATAGCATCGGAATATTGCAGTCCCTCGGTAGTTTCTGTTTCAATCTTCATTACCATATATATTGAACCTGCTACATAAATATTTCGTTTTTGTCAATGTTTGGCTCTTCCTAATGTCCTTGAGACACGGAACCAACAACGAGGTAACACTAGATATAAAGAAAATTACCTAACGTTTCCTAGATGCTGACGGTAACCAAGATTACTGACTTTCGGTGGACGTGGACAGACAGAAACATAAATTGAAGTTACCAGTCGAAAGCATAGAAGGTTTGGTACACCTCCCAGCTGATCAGTCCAAACTTGTTGGTCCAAAACACTAGACCGCCCACCTATTTTTAAGAGGAAACGTTGAGTTCCAAAACCCTCGTTCAACAAGTGCTGTGCCTCCTCTTAGGACCCAAGAATTACATCTTTTGTTTCTCTCTTAGTAAACAAACAATTCATGACATCAATTCGGGTGCCTCTTCAAGACATGGTAAAAACACTTGAATAGCTCTCCATACTTAGAAGTGATATATTGAGAGCAAGTTTTCTTCCTTACGGATTCAGACCTGTCCGTGTAGGTATGATAACTTTGAGATCATCGCCAAAACATAAATTTACAACATTCCAAGCTAAGAAAAGACCTGATAATATCTTATTAGCACTAAGTTAAGATGTGGGTTTTGGCACGAGACTATAGTCCGACCAGAAATCCAACTTTGCAAATAAGTGAAGCGATGGCAACAAGGGAAAACAAAAATGAATTACCGCAAGTTCCTTGATCCTTGACAGGATTCACCGCGCCCTTCAACCGCCAGTCCACGGCCTCCGGCAACCGGTCCCCAGCTCGGACGGCGTACCGGCTGCTGGCGTTCCTGGACTTCATCACCCGGCGCTCGGCCTCGCTCCTCGTGCCAAGGTACATGGCTCGGTACTCGTCGTTCGTCAGGTCGGCGAACCTGTTGAGGCCCAACGTGTACGTCCTGTTCTGGGAATCGTTGTGCTCGTCGATGAACCTCAGGTTGTCCTTGAAGACCTCGAACCTCATCTCCCTCTCGCCGAGGTCGTTGTACGCCTTGCCGTGCCTCGCGAGCCAGAGCTCGTAGATCGCCATGACCTCGCCGTCGGTCCTCGGGGCCGAGGCAGTCCGGTCTCTGGCGGCGTAGTCGATGATGGACTTGGGGTCGGAGAATGCAGCGGAGGTCAGGGCCAGGAAGAGGAGGGCGGCGAGAAGGGTCCGTGCGGCTGTCATTGCCATGGCTGAGCTGTTGAGCCTCTCTCTCTCTCTCTCTCTCTCTCTCTCTGTCCCTGTGACACCCTGCTTTCCTTCTTCGTTGGAGGAGGAAGATGGAGAGTGCGGATAGAGAGAACAGAGAAGGAGAGGCTTGAGGAGGGAAGAAGAAGGTTTGGTGCAAGAATGGTTATAAAGGCAAGGGAAATGGTTAGAATATTCATGCGTGGTTGATGATTCTGTCAGATGAGAATTCTTTATTCTTTCGTCTTTTTACGAATTTTAGAATAATTTATCGTTTATTTGTTTAGTTTTTTGGGCTAAGTGAAAGTGAACCAATGTGTTTCATGAACAAAAAAAAAAGAAAAAAAGAATTTGAGTGGCTAAGGAAAATTATGGGAGAGATTGATGGCCACTCTTAGGTGCATCCAAGGACTGGAAATTGGTGTGTCGATCGTATTTATTATTCGTAATTTTGATTTAATATGTAATTGAATCACAATGAAAACGTGTGAATTTCATATCGATCTGTTTGGACATACGATGTTCATTGTATCAAGGCGTACCATATTCGAATTTTGTCCATAGAATTCGCATTTTGTCTGATGGCTTGCAAATTGGCCATGTCCTTTTTGACCAAAAAAAAAAACCGGTGGTGTCCGATATAATACAAATAGGCAAATATACCAACAGCTCTGCATAATTATTGCATAACTTAAAAGAAATATATGATTTTAATTGTTGTGTAGGGGTGAGCATGATCCGAGTGGGGAGTTCCCACTTGAAACTGGAAACCGCCCTCACCTGGGAATAGGACCAGCGGTTTCCAGTTCCAGTTTGATTTGATTCCCGAGTGGGTTCATGGAACCGGTCCCACCGAGTTCAGGCCGTTCCTTTTCACTCCTCTATTGTTGTGTCCATTATGTACCTTTTTGTAGCAAACGTCAACTATATCGTATACAAGTACGATCTACTTTTTTTTTTTGGTCAATCAAGTACGTTATACTTATATGCTTATATATAATTCTATATTTGAAAAGCCTTATCATCATAACATAATTTCAGGCATGGTCATTTTCGATGAATTTCGGATTATTTTCCTTTTGTTACGATGAATTGCAAATTATCCATTGTGATCAGCTTAGATATTTGTAATCAAAATTTTTGAAAATAATATTTTACTTACAAAAAAGAAAAAGAAATATTAATTGCATTCGATGAGTAAAAAAATTGACAAAATTGAAAAAAGAACATTAATTATATTCAATGAGCAAAAGTCAGTTTCACTGTATCTGCCATAGATTATATAGGTGGTGTTTTTTTTCTTGCACCAGTCAGATTCATTGAACAGTAAATTTGCAGGTGAAATTTGATTAGTTTACAAACTCACGAAATCGTTGATTCACTATGACAAAATTACGATATTTGAATTTCAAAATTTCTTATGTTAACTTTGATCCGCAAAGACTATTTTGCATGTAAAGATATGCATTTGATGATTGAAAAACTTTTATAGAATTAGAGAACTTCTCAGAAACTAAATAAAAAAATAATTACATACTACTTTACTAGTAACATATTAACGTGATATTACTAAATTTAAGTGGTCTCATTAGTGGTCCAAAAACCAATTCAAGTGATCCCAAATATAAGAATAGCAGTGCTATTGGCTAGCCTTTCAACAAGTTATGTGATATAAACAAGAGAATAACATTATGTACAATAGGAGCGATTTGTTGTTTTGGTAAATCGAGTGATGTGGGAAATTCTTTTGAAACAAATGGGTCATATTCAATATTTGATACGAGCTCATGCGAATTCGGTAAACTAGATTTGAATATTATTCTAAAAATTTCAACTGCATGACATATATGTTTTGTTATAATTTGAATTCAAAGGATGTTGGAAAAAAATAAAGATATTATCAACACGTGTTTATAAGATACTTTATGAAGCATATGTTACGAGAATAGCTTCACATTCACACACCACAAGAGCCATTAATACATCAAAATTCCCCGTCATCTTTAAATTACTTATTTAATAATTACTCTAAAAGCTCTTTAAATTTGTTAATAAGTGTCTTTAGGGTACTCGTTAAATAACCATATAAAGAAATATTTTAAATTTCGACACACACCGGTAATATGCATAATTAATAATTTTAAAATCGAGTATTTAATGAATTCTTCTCCATTGTTTTGCCCTAAAGAAGTTCCTGCACTGAAAACAGGAAGTTGAATTCCGCACCTTTTGACTGCAGTAATATAGCAGAAAGCTTTAATAAGAGCGAGCCATGTTTCTTGGGACTCTGAGAATGATATTTTCATTTCTAGTGGAGCCGATAAGTTATGGCCATGCATTTAATGCATTAATGGGTCTCTCCTTCTTCCATTAGCCATACTCCAACTCTTGTTCGTTTCTCTGCAACTCATATCCTCAGTTTCACTGCAAAATGCAGAAGATATAAGCTAATTCTCCTTCTGGGGAAAAAGCAAACCTCAAAACATTTCTTACACATAGGGAATGGTTCCAACGCGATCGCTTGATACGAGAGAGGGTCGGTATTGCATCAGAGTGGTGATAATAATATGGATCTTGTTTACGAATATCCCGAACATACTCCTGTTGTCTATATTGTTTCATCCTATTTTATTTGCTTTAGTTGGGTGCCTTGTCATGCTGGAAAGGCAAAGGGAGAATACACCACCCTTGTCGGAGCTTGGGCTCGCCTCAACAATTGGGAGGTTCGAGCTCGAGTTTCGGTGTCGCGCCTAGTCCTTAGGATCACCCTCAAGAGTCGTGAATGAGTGGGGTTTTGTAATCATTCGATGTGGTTGAAACGGGAGGAATGTTGCACTCGGTAGATATGAATCCGTTTCTAATTGAAGTCATACATCCCAATGATATTATAAAAAGAAGACGAACTTGAGGGTTAAAAATGAAAGCAATCCAAATTGAATCATATATAAAATCAACTCGGGTTGGCGCAATTGCTTGTAGTGTCATAGGACTTCCAATTCAAGAACTTGAGGTCGCTTCTTCAAATCATGCAAACTGTTTAGGCAAAGCAATTTTACGGTGCTCCCCCCCTTTTTTCTTTTTTAATAAGGGCACAAAAAAAAAGAGATAATTACACAAATGGTCCATGAAACTTGATTTAATGTGCAATGTGATTCTTGAACTTTTAATTTATTTAATATAGTCTCTAAATTTTAGCCTAATGTTCAATGTGGTTCCCGAACATTTAATTTTTTCAATGTGGTCTATGTACTTTTGATGTATGTTCAATGCAGTTCCTGAATTATATGAAAATATTCAATGTAGTCCTTGATCTTGAATTAATGAAATGATTACATTGAATATTTTTATATAGTCAGGACTAAATTGAAATTGTACAAAAAGCTCAGGGACTATATTGAACAAATTATAAATTCAGGAAATACATTGTATATTGGGCTAAAGTTTATGAATTATTTGTATCATTTTTTCAAAAAGAAAAGGAATTAGATTATGAACACAAACACTATTCAGGGGGGGGGCATTACTCCATCCTAGACTTGCGTGACACCTACCTATGATAGCAAATTCCTACCATATCTTCCCCTCAAGTTGGATCTTCTGAGTCACCTTCAGGGCATTAAAGACGATGACATTTCATCAGTTCAACGAGGACCAGCGGGCCAACTTGTAAAAATACCAAAGAGCTTCTGGCCACAGAAATGATCTGACTCCCTCGCTAAAGCTGTGGCTGGTTTGGTTTCATGTTTCTCGGTGCCTTCCTGCGCTTTTTGGCAGGAAACAGGGAGTCCCACTTGGTATATGAGATTTTCAATTACGCGAGGGGAATTCCTAAACGAGGGTGGGAAAAAAGAAAAAGGGGAGGAAATTTGAATTTTCATTTTTGTAGTCTTTCCGGACTATTGAGTATGCGTTTCTAGGTGATGTCTTTGTTTTAAACTGCGATTCTATAAAGGGGTTTATGAGAATCAATTCATGCTTTGAAAGGTGGATTTGTGGTTTATACTTTTATTTTTATACAAAAATCAAAAGCACTAGAAAAAATGAAGAGAAAGACAGCCTCTTTATGTGTAGTTGTGTGTGTATGTGTATGTATGTGTGTAGACATACATAGATATATCGGCTTTTCATGTTATTTGACTTAGCACAAACACGTTTAGTTATTTTATATAAATGCTGTGCGAAGATAAATGTGGCGAAATTGTCCATGCATGCAAATATGGAAACAGTCAATATCATGCAAGACGGTTTATCCTTGAGACGATGTTCTAATAATAAGGATTTTACTTGTCACGCCCCAAATCCCGGCGGGCTCGCGACACCCCTCCGAAGGTCGTATTGATCGCGACGTCCCAGGACGCGTCGCCGATCCCAAACGAAACACCCAAAATCGTACGCAGGCGGAAGCGAAATTTAAACATCCCAGACAATAAATTATGATAACGGGGTAGAACAAACGCAAATCAATAAACACATAACATTAGCTTGAAATCCCAAATATTCATACATTAGGCCTCTAGGGTTAATATCCACCTTAGTCATCAAAAAGGAACAGGTGGCCGGGTAGACTACTAACTGCACAAAAAGGGATTCTACCAAAAAGGTTTCCAGGCCCAACTCCTAAACATCCCTACGGCGCCCAATCCAAATCGGACCCTGAAGGTTCTGACTCCGTGTCCGAGTCGATCTCGATCAGCTCCTCCTCATGCTCGCACACCATAGGCTCCTCCTCGGGCTCGGGCTCGGGCTCGGATTCCTCTTCAAGCTTGAGGTCTGCAAGGGCCATAGGTTCGGGTTCGGGTTCAAGCTCCGGTACGGGCTCGGGTTTAGGCTCTGGAACGGGGGCTAGTTTTGCACCAGGGTTCTCCGGTGGACTGTCGGGATCCGTCACCTTGCCATCGGGAGTAAACTTGTCCCAAGGCTCCCGATTTACCGCACCCTCATTAGCATGCTGCAACCCCTCAAAACCCCAGATTGGCCCAGTAGTCACCAACCCGACCCGATGGGACCAAGCCAAATAGGTATGGCATTGCAGCTCCTCTAGTCCCACGTCTACCCAAACAGTGGTAAGATGCCTAATGTACGTCTCATCCGGGTTCAGTCCCGGATATTCGGTCTCTTCATGCACCGCATGCATGGGAATCCCAAAACGCCTAGGTGGCGACAT